TGTGCCAGGTGTTGTTTGATTTAAAAAATCCTCCAAGCAGAACATTTCTCTTGGCGTTACAGAAGCTGCTGGTGTAAGTCAGAAAGTGGCCAACAAGTAGTGACCGTGATGATGCTGTAACTGATTCATTTATTTAACACGAGTATAACTAGACTAACAGACCGATACTGTTAGTCTGAGTCTGAAGAGTCGAGATACGGTGAACGAGGAGATTGTTAACACCATAAGGAACCCCGAGAAGAGTGAACAGTCGAGCTTAAGATTGGTTTGAGGTGGAGACAATGTTTTTTTGTAGAGTATACACAAACATAATACTTAACATTTTGTCAGTTTCTCTCTGCGCTGTGCTTTTCGTAGAGGATGCGTATTCTACCAGAGAAGAACCCAAAGTTATTAAAGGTAGATATATTCCGTCTCAATTTACTGGCTCTGTGACAAGAATGAAAGAAACCCTGCTTGATGAACGCAGAACCAGTTTATCACCCAACAAAAAACTTACTGTACCCGAGATCATTAATACTAATAAAGACCCTCTTGTTGACGAAGGCATGGTCGTATTTTCTTCTGTTAAGGCTCCTGTTGTTGTCGAGAGTATAAAGAATCCCGCTTTGAAAAAAGATCCTATTATTTCCAGGAACAAACACGTCTTATCTAATGAGAAAGAAGCTGTGACAGGTAAGAGTAACGAGGTTTCGACTGCTGAGAGAGAATCATTTCATCGTGAAAGTAAACACTTTTCGAATATTACTAAAAAACCAACAGTTATTTCAAAGCGTATCCATGTACAATCTTCTGAAAAAGAAGCCAATGCTTTAGAGAGTAGACAGGTTTCTTCCGAAGAGAAAGATTCCGCTGTTTTCCAGAGCAAAGATGCTTTGGCTACTAAAAAAGGCTCTAGTGCTTCTGAGATTAGACGTAAAACATTTACTGAGGGAAAGTCCAAAGATGATGTAACTGGAACTGATCTGCTTGCGGAAAATGAATTGACTGTTGGCGAGAGTAGATTCACCCCTAGAAACCCTGACCGGTAAGTACGTGGTTGAGTTTGGTACAGTCAGGTAATAAGGAACGTAGTGTATAGAACACAGCAATTTCCAGCAATGGACACGTGAATATGCAATCGTGTAGAGTTATATATGTTTTGCATCTAAACAAACAACTTCCAAATTATTAATAACATTTTATGATTCATGCCTACAAATTCTTTAACTACTTCTGTTATTAATTCGTGTATGGATGAATAGATATTTTTATAACACCTCTAATAACAATGCGACGTATGGTTATAACAATGCGACGTATTGTTAAATATGGCATGCTTTATAAAGTAAGTACCTTTTTACAATATTACTAATAATAATCCAAGCACATAAGAGATTTTTCGTTAAATATGGCATTGCTTTATAAAGTAAGTAATATTTTACAACACCTATTGTTTGTTTGTAATTAAGCACAAAGCTACACAATGGGTTATCTGTGCTCTGCCCACCACGCCCCTCCAATGGCACAGCGGCATGTCTGCAGAATTACAACGTTAGAATCCGGGTTTCGATACCCGTGGTGGGCAGAGCACAGATAACCCATTGTGTAGCTTTGTGCTTAATTACAAACAAACAATAGGTGTTGTAAAATATTACTTACTTTATAAAGCATGCCATATTTAACAATACGTCGCATTGTTATAACCATACGTCGCATTGTTATA